TCCAGGAATGGGCTCAGGATACAATTCTTCAATAGGAGAGTCTCCCCCTGCTGTGCCTTCAGACATGCTTCTTTGGCCCTTGGACTCTCTTCTTCTGTGGGCTAGCTAAGCCTGCCCCTCTGTCTCATGCCTCTTGGTTCCTCTGCCACCATCTCTGCCAGGGCACGTCTCAGCCAAGGAGGTCTAAGGCAGGGATCTCAGGTTCAAGGACACACTCTACTTCACCTCCAGTTCTTTCTTGATGACAGTGAGTCCTGCTCTCTGCCTCTAGGAGGCCTCATTTTAAGCAGAGTGACAAAACTACCAATCCCAGTATCAGAGTTCTACACACCTTATTTTCACGGTCCCATCCAATAATCAGGTGGGAATTACAAAGACTATGGCTAGAAAAGCCACACCAATTAATTTACTGCACCACAAAAGAAAAGGAAGAAAAGATCAAAATGGATGTCAGAAGAGACTCTGAAACTTGCTCTTGAATCGTGAGTAGCTAAAGTAAATGGGAAATTACAAGCTAAAAGAGTTGAAAAGAAAATTTCAAAGAGTAGCTCAAGAAAAGAAAGTAAATTAGTACAATGAAACATGTACAGACCTGGAGTTAGAAAACCAAAAGGGAAGAACATGCTCAGCATTTCTCATGCTGAAAGAACTGAAGAAAAAATTCAAGCCTCAACTTGTAATATTAAAGATACTATGGGCAAAATATTAAATGATGCAGGAAAAATCAAAAGAAGGTGGAAGGAATACACAGAGTTACGGTACCAAAAAGAATTGGTCAATTTTCATCCTATTCAGGAGGTGGCTTATGAACAAGAGCCAATGGTATTGAAGGAGGAAGTTGAAACTGCACTGAAGCAACTGGCAAAAAACAAGGCTCCAGGAATTGAGGAATACCCATTGAGATGTTTCAACAGACAGATGCTGCACTGAAGGCACTCACTCATCTGTGCCAAGAAATTCATAAGATAGCTACCTGGCCAACTGACTGGAAGGGACCCATATTTGTACCCATTCCAAAAATAGGTGATCCCACAGAATGTGGAAATTACTCAGCAATATAATTAATTTCACACGCAAGTAAAATTCTGCTGAAGATAATTCAAAAATGGTTGCAGCAGTATATTGACAGAGAACTTCCAGAAATACAAGCTGGATTCAAAAGAGGATGTGGCACCCTGGAGAGAACAATCATGGGAGAAGGAAGGGCTGCTTATGCACAGGGAGATAGCTCAGGGTGCAGAAGAGTATGAAGGGATGGACACTGGGAGGAGGTAACTATGGGGAGGAAGTGGGAGGGGAGCTGCTGCATTGTAAATTTTGGTCAATGACATGAGACAAAGTATATGTGAACTGCTGTATGAAAAGTGAATTTACTCTGTAAATCTTCACCCAAATCCTAATAAAAAAAAAAAAAAAAAAAAAAAAAGAGGATGTGGAACAAGGGATATTATTGCTGATGTCAGATGGATCTTGGTTGAAAGTAAAGAATACCAAAAAGACGTTTACTTGTGTTTTATTGATTATGCAAAAGCATTCAATTGTGTGGATCATAACAAATTATGGCTAATATTGAGAAGAATGAGAATTCCAGAATACTTAATTGTGCTCATGAGAAACCTGTACATAGGCCAAGAGGCTGTCATTCAAACAGAACAAGATGATATTGCATGGTTTAAAATTAGGAAGGGAGTATATCAGGGTTGTATCCTTTCACCATACTCATTCAATCTGTATGCTGAGCAAGTCATCCAAAAGGCTGGACTATATAAAGAAGAATGTGAAATCAGGATTGGAAGAAGACTCATTAACACCCTGTGATATGCAGACGACACAACATTACTTGCTGAAAGTGACTTGAAGCACTTAGTGATGAAGATTAAAGACTACAGTCTGCAGTATGCATTACACCTCAACATAAAGAAAATGAAAATCCTCACAACTGAACCAATAAGCATCATCACAATAAATGGAGAAAAGATTGAAGCTGTCAAAGATTTCACATTACTTGGTTTTACAGTCAACACCAATGGAAGCAGCAGTCAACCAATCAGACGACGATGTATTGCATTGGGCAAATCTGCTGCAAATGACCTCTTTAAAATGCTGAAGAGCAAAGATGTCTCTTTAAAGACTAAGGTGTACCTAACCCAAACCATGGCGTTTTCAATCACCTCATATGCATGTGAAAAGCTGGACAATGAATAAGGAATGCTGAGGAAGAGTTGATGCTTTTGATTTCTGTTGGCAAAGAATACTGAAAGTACCATGGACTGCCAAAAGAACTAACAAATCTGTCCTGAAAGAAGTGCAGCTGGAGTGTTCCTTGGATGTGAGAATGGCCAGACCTTGTCTTACCTACTTTGGTCATGTTGTGAAAAAGGACCACTCCTCGAAGACTATCATGCCTGGTAAAGTGGAGGGTCAACAAAAACGGGGAAGACTCTCAAGGGGATGGGTTGACACAGCAGCTGCAATGATGGGCTCAGTTATAGCAAGGATTATGAGGCTGGCACAGGAGACCCAGCAGTGTTTTGTTCTGTTGTACATGGGGTCACTATGAGTGGGAGATGACTCGACGGCACCTAACACCACCACCAAAACAAAATATACCAGAATGAACAGATCACATATTATAAGAGCTTCAGTACATGGCAAGGACGTTTAGGGCCAAGCCAGACTCCACAAAAAGCTGCAGGCAGATCTAAGGAGATTTGTAGTAACTGTGGCCACTATCCTTTGTTATTGTTTGAATGGACAAAAGTGTTCCAAATCCAAAACGTTAATGATTTCTCTTTTAGATTTTTATTTTGAGGACCTCCTCTTCTGGTGGTGCATGGTTAAAGCATTAGGACTTCAGCTTTTCACTTATGAGAACAATATTCCTTCTGAAGAATTTTTGCCTTAAAAAGTTAATTCTAGATCACCACTACCTAAAGTGTTTAAATCCACCCTGTTGCATATTTTGAAGTTAAAAAGATCTTATTCATTTAGGAATTTTCCATTCCTGATGATTCAGTGGCATAAACTCTCCATGGGAATTGTTAATGCTGACTTTAATACTTGATATGGAGTACACTGTTAATGTTTCTGATATTTCTTAGAGATTTGTTAGGTCCTATGTGCCTCAATTAGGAGCTCTGGTAGCATAGTGGCTAAAAGCACTTGACTGCTATCCAGAGGGCTGGCGGTTCAAACCCACCAGCCACTCCTCGGAAGGAAGGTTGGGCAATCCTACTTCCGTAGTGATACTGCCTCG